GGGAATGCACAGAGCTGGGATAATCCGATGGGGCAACGCAACAAAAATGCGAAAAGCAATAAAAATGAAATGGGAGACTTCGGTTTTTGGGGGTAGGGCAATGCCGACACTAAGATAAAGGTCTGAGAGATGGGAATTCGAATATCACGATTTCATCGTGCAGTTTGCATCACCTCCCTTCTTGCGCACTCGCACTGTGCCTGCTTGGAATTATGAAAGCAACCACAGAAATTATGAATTTGAAGTGGAGTGCGCTCAGCCAATCGGGAAATGGATCCACCCAGAGGCAGCCAACCACCGAACAGCCTCAGCCTCAGCCTCAGAGCGAACCTGCGCTTATGGCATAACGTTATGTGTATTGTATACATCATAATCCATAACGCCCCAACCCAAACCACACGAGACGGAAACGAACCCTTGCATTACTCTCTCCCCCCACGCGTGTTGCTTGCTGGCTTCAAATTACAACCACAAACACAACGGAAACGGAGCAGGCAGTGGGGAAGTGGCACACTGCGAAAGGGAGTCGTCAGCAAACAAGAGCAGCCCTTAAAAACGCACAACCACACACACACACAGACACACACACACACACACAGCAGGGGAGTCGCTTAAATCAACAAAGAGAAAAGCAACGAAAAGGAAGGGAAGGCGAAGCAAAGAAAAAATAACCGAAGAAAGAAAGCAATTTTTTGGGGGGTGAAATTCAGAGTCATGCCCGACTGCCACCCCACGGCGACGGCACCCTCAATGCCACCCAATTATAACCGTATACACAAGGTTATACATACCTCTGTGTGTGTGTGTGTGTGTGTGTGGGTGTGGGTGTGGGTGGGTAGCTGGAGAGCTTATTTCAGGAACAACTTCAACTGCGTCTCTCGTTTCGTTATTGTTTCATTTTTTTCTTGCTTTTGCTTTCGATTTTTCTACCATTTATACATGTGTGGCGTGTGTGTGTGTGTGTGTGTCGTGTGTGTGCGTGCGTGTGTTTGTTTGTATTTATCTTGGCTACATCCAAGACACAGGATACACGAAGACGCTGCTGGCCGGGAAAGTTACTGCGATACGTGCAACATCATAAAAGGGACAAAACAATAACAATAAAAATCATATGTACTCTGCGGCCCCACCCAACTCCCCAGCAGCCTTCTTACATAGATGGCATTTGGCCATATAAGGGTATGTGTGTTTATGTATGTACATACATTTATGTACATATATGAGTATAAATGCCAAGCCGTTAAGATATGAGCGCAGAACCCGTACCCGAACGAGTATCCTTTTGCGTTTGGCTCCACTAGTGAGTCGACAAATGACCATTGTCCAAACACACAGCCACAAAGAGCATACACACATATCCCTTATTTCAGTATTTGTTTATGTACATAGCAATATCCTTTATGAAATTCAATTTCCGCATCCTGTCATTACTGTCTTCTAATAGTTTTCGCTGTGCGCTCGATGGCAGCTCCCTCTGAATGACTTACATAAATGATTCATCGATTTACTGACGCTTAAAACTAGTAAAAATACTCATGCTGCTTACTTTATGTAACCCAATGTATTCCTTAGAGTAAACCGATCTTGCAGCAGACCTGTCGCATGTAGCATACATATCAGCGCCTCTTTGGCTAGTTTCCACACAAATGAAGGCACATACGCCCCCTTGCGACGTTGTTGTTTGGCCTGATGAAATGCGTTAAAACGAAAATTAAGCAACACAATTAATGGGCCCCGCTTTATCATACAATTTTAATGGCACACATAAATTGGCCAAGAGAACTGGAGCACCACCATCATGGAGCACACACGCACACATGGGTGGGGTGTAAAAGTTTCTGTATTACTTTGTGAGCCATAAACACATGTGTGTACATATGTACAATATGTATTAATTTATGTATATAGGTACTTTCCTTTTATGTACTTAGTTATATTTACTTGAGCAGCTCTCCTCTTTTCGATTTAATTTGGTCTTGAGCTTAATTAGTCGCAGGTTTGCTTTTACATCTCCCAAAACGCTGATTCGAGGCGCTCTAATGGAGTCATCTGCTGGGGGGGGGATTATTCCTTAGGTTTTTTTTCTTGTTTTGTACTGATTTGAATTTATCAGAAATTTCTCTTATTTATTTTGGAGAAGATTCGATGGACTATTCTCCTTTTTCCTTCTACTTAAACCAATTATATGTTGTCATACACGTGAATATGTAAATATGTATGTAATTATGTAAATATGAATTCATAGCATTTGTAGCTCTTTCATAAACATTTTCTTGCAACCGAACGTTGTGTATGACATAATATTTTAGTGAAAACCGCAAAGCATTTGCCCAAATGCCCTTCCAGTATATGGTCCAAGCGCGGACCGGCCAACAGTGTTGGAAAAGTGCAAACAAACATGGTCTGGCCAGCAGTGTGGGAGGTGGACTGAAATCAAACCCAAACCGAAGGGGAAACGAGCACTGCCGAGGCAGCGACTTGACCAGCAGAGACTTGAGCCTGGCAGAGAGATGCGGGACCCAGGAGCACTGGCCGCAGACATATTCGAGGAGGAAACGCTCAATTTTTTCCACACCACCCACAGGAGGAGAAAGCAGCGGGCGAGAGAGCGAGAGAGAGGGAGACAGAGAGAAAGAGCAAACAATGCTCGGGACAGGGCGGGAAATTATGAAGCTGAAGACGGCTGCAAGGAGGAGGCTGGGGGGGCATCCATCAGTGGGAATGGGGAAAGTATACAGGACACCGCCGACCTGTGGCAGCCGAAAGGCAGAGAGAAAAGACAGCAAAAATAAAAGAAGAGCAGAAAAAAATGAGAAACCGTGTGGTCCGCTGGCTTGGCAAAATAAATCGCTGGACATAAAAACGGAGCAGTGCAAGCGAGACAGCAGAAGGAGGCAAAAGGAAGAGAGAACGGAAGAAGACGGAGAAGAGGAAGCGAAAGGCACGTGAGGCAGTGCGAGCGAGAGGCGAGGCGAGGCGAGGCCAAGCGCCAAACAGAAATAAAAAATTGAATGAAATATTTTTATAACCACACACACAGAGACAGAGAGCAAAAGAGAGAAAGAGCTGAAAAGAGACGGAGAGATGCAGAGAAATATAAAAGAGTAAGAGAGAGAGAGAGAGAGAGAGCAGCTGAAGGATATTGATGGGGCGCAACAGTAAAAAGAAAAAAAAAATCAAGCAACTTGCTTATCAAATATGAAGGAACCGAAAGTGGGTCGAGGCTGGGGTGTGAGCTGGGGTCAGCTCATAAAACCCATGAGCTCACCTGGGCAGAGAGAGAGAGAGAGAGAGCTAGTAAAAGAGAGTGAGAGCGAGAGAGAGAGAGAGAGAGAGGGAGTGCTGGGTAAGCTGTAACTGGAGGCGGCACACCCAAGGGTAGTTGTTGGGTCGAAACTTTTATGGATGCCACCACCCCCCCACCCCAACACCATCGGACGACAGGTGGTCAAAGGCACGCCCCAGCTCCTGCCACTCTCTCTCTCCCCCAGCCACAGGTCATAAAACGGCACATTGTGTTAGTGGGTGGCCCCCATCCAGATGGTCAGTGGGTGGCACGGCACACGTGCGGATAATAAAAAATGTTTTACTTTTCAATCGACCAATAATATGGCGTTCAATGGACAGGCCAAACGTGCAAAACCCATCAGAATGGAATGGATCCAAGATATTTCCGAGAAAAAGAGAGGTCCGAGAGAGAGAGAGGAAGAGAGGGAGCATAAGGAGAGGACGAAAGACAGAGACGAGCATACATACACCCACGTACGAGGTTCAATCATCGTTAAAAAGAATTTCATTTTGAAAAATGCCAGAACTTCAATAAATTATATTGCCCCCCGCAAGGATGTGCTGAGAAGGATGTAGTCGGATGGGATCTGTGCTGTGTGGTCTGCCGCTCGACTTGCTGGCACCTTCGCTATCATAACCACAATACAAAAGGAAAAAGGAAAAAGGAAAAAAGAACAAAAAAACACCCACACTGCCCTGTGGCTTTATTTTTTTGTATTCCCAGTCGCATCCGTAAGATATCTGGGTGCGGACAGGTGAATCAGGTCAATGCAAGGGTGGGGAGGGAGCGTACCCCGCTACGGGTCAGCCAGCCATTGTGTGTCCCCGGCACGAGGATGGGCAGCCAGAGCCAATGGCATTCTGTAGCGTCAGCGTCTCCAGCTGCCCGCTCGATGGTTATTGGTTCGCGTTGCAATAATATAATATACACAGACAGACAGACAGACACTACCACAACGGATCTATATATACACATATAGAAATAAAATAAAAATTGTGAAATAAAAACAAGCAAAAGAAGCGAGAGAAGCGAGAGAAAAGCTGCTGGAAACTATCAAGCGGGAGGGACCAAAGATGGAGCAGCTGGAAGGAAGGAGCAGCAGATTTTGACTCAACTTTGTTGCAACGCGACATTTTCTTTTATTTTTTGCTGCAGCAAAATCCCAGCAGAAGTGGAGAAATCCCAGCTTGTGGGTACAAGCGGGACCTGCTTCACCATTGTCATAATGACGTGCATTCCAGGGCGTTGCCCCACCTTGCACTTGGATATTGATTGCAGATCCTTTGGTGCCGCTGCCGCCGCCATTCGCTAATTAAGTCATGGGTAGTGCCGAGGCTCCACACCGAAAGAAATGTTGGTGCAGCCAGCACCAGAATGGAGCCACAATCTCTTTCCACCATGGATCATTATGCCATGACAAATTAAATGCCAAACGAACACGTGCATTGGACAACTTTAATGCTCTCAAAATGTGTGACATTTTTAGCAGAAAATAATGGAAGAAATCTAACAAAATTCGTTTATATTTAAGTGCATTAAATTACTTTAAATTATATTACAAAATGCATTTCCTATGCAGCTGCCACATGCATTTTTTGAGCTGTGATTTGCCAGCTTTGCTGGGCCACAGACATGGACATGAACTCCGTAACTAATTGGACAAACCCGATGTGTTCCACCATATGCCAATATAAAAGTAGACTCCAAAGCAGGCAAATGTTAGTTCCACATTCGAGACTGAGCCGCAATGAAGCCATTTCTGCTCTTCTGGTTAATGTGTGGCGCGTGCTCTGTCAGCACCATGAGTCTGGCAGGTGAGCATCCGATGTGCAGTTGATGAGAAAATAAAACTCCAATTCCACACAGATAACTTCTGCGATCGGCCGCCTGGTGTCGGAGGTATTTGTCGGATGCCATTGCCTTTCTTTACCTATGATAAATCCAAAAACGAATGCATCTCGTTCCTCTATGGCGGCTGTGGAGGCAATGAAAATCGTTTTCTTACCATTGAAGCGTGCACTCAGACCTGCATGCAAACGATTTTGTAGAACAAATAAAATGATGGCTTGTCATTGAGTGTTCTGAAATCTACCTTAAGTGAATTTCCGTTGTTGTCGAATGATATGACAAATAAGATTGCCATCAGATTCCGCCACCCACCACCAAAAGCTAAAGCTAAAGCAAAAGCTTGGGCATGTCAGCAGGGGAAAGGCGAGCGAACGAGTTGGCGGAAACCTGATACCCCACGCAAAAAAAAAAAAAAAAAACAAGAAGGAAAAAGCGCTACTCGCACCGGGGGTTGGGGAATGTGTTGCATGTTTATTTGAAAAATCGCTAAAGGATAACTAAAGGATTCCCCTAGGGGTATTTCCCGAGCTCGAGTGATTTGTTTGGCGAATTTACATACACGCAGAGGCCTCACTCTCTGAAGTCCCTGGGCGTTTTCCAACTCGTTGAACAGCCCCACAAAGATCCGACCCTGATCCAAGTCAATGCGTTGCGGCAATAATTTTGCATAAAGAATAAGTAAAAGTATCCAAATTGAATCAGTGCAAAATTGAATCCGACTGGCACGCGGTGCTAAGTGCCAGATTCAATTCAATTTCAATTTCGTTTGCAGTTTACAGCCCAAAAGTTGACATTTATGAGAGGAGCATTTCTGTGGGCATATCGATTTCTTAGCTCATGTGAGTGTGTGTGTGTGTGGGTGTGTGGGTGTGTGTATCCCCAAATGGCAGGCATCAATAAGCAACCCACCCACTGAGTCGGTAAATAATGTAATTTATGAATTACAATTAAAAATACACACAGAAAGGGGAGAAGCAACAGCCGAAGGTTGAGCAGGGTACAAATACATGAACAGATACAGAGATAGAAACACAGAGCTAGGGCTAGACGTGCCACATGAGTCCCCTTCTGCGGGCTGGTTGGGGTTGCTGCGTTCCGTTGCGCGTTGTCTGGCCAAATTTTTGTGCTTTGCTCATCAGTCGTGCTGCTTCTGCCTCTGCTTCTGCTCCTCCCACCACTCTGGCAACTGTAATAAAACTCCCCATTTGGTCATTTGGCAATTATCCCGATAAATTAGCTGCCGGACAATGGCACAGCAGCGTCGCGTCGCCAGCCCAGCACGGAGACTGAACAAGGGTTGGACATTATTCAGCGAATTCTTTTGCCAAAAGTAACACAAAATATTCACACACACACACACACACGCATTATATGAATGAGGAAGAGTGAAAGCGATCGGACGCGCTTGTTTTTCCTCCAGCGTCAAATTCATTTTCCGTGCGTGAAACTGCCTGGAAAAAGGTAAAAGTGAGAAGGTGCCCGATAGGAAGGGGTACGTACCGAGCCAGACCGACATACGCGTTCAGGGTGAGTCTCCCGGCGCGGAATCCAGTCGCTGGGCGCCGCTCCATACACAGAGGAGGGGAGGTGAGGCGAGGAGGCCACGGGTTTTTCGCGCTCTCTTCTTTGGGAAGGCAAAAACAATTTTTCCCATTTTCGCAATCTTCTTTGCTTGTTGCGAGCAGCTGATCAGTGGTGGGGAGCGCAAGCGAGCTTGCGCATACCGATATATCGATATATCGATACCCCACCGGCGGCAGCTGTCACGTAGCAGGTAACTGCAAGACCGCAAAGGGGATAAGGTGGCGCAAAAGCTACAAATTTCCAGGCCAAATTTCTAGGCCTGGATAGTCTGCACAAGGGGCAGTGGGAAAAGGTCACGGATCCGACCACACTCCGATCCCCCGCTCAGGCGGTGTCCCGGTCAACGGGACGTCGGGGACCGGGGAAGGGGCGGTATATCCCCCATCGAGAAGCCAAGGGGAAATCCGAGGCCAGCGAGGGAGCCCACAAGTGCGGACCGCGTAGCTAAGTAGAGCATAAACGAGATATGGACACGGGAAACCCGTTCGTGGGCAGATCGGCGCTGGCAAGATCGCCGCGCCAACTGCCGGAAGAAGGGAGGAAAGCCGATGCTTCGGTGGTCGTAATGAGGAGCAATCTCATCCGATCGCCGGTACTCCAGGCAACGCCAGGAGCCGTTCAGGGTTGTGAGGTTGACCCCAAAGAGACCCCCAAAAGGGTTAGGGACCCCGCAAGCCCGGCGAGCTCGCAGAGACTGACACCGCCAAAGAAGAGCAAGGCATCGCAGGAAGCTAACGGTCAGCAGAACCTAGCGGAGCTGGGTAGACTCCTGGAGGAGATCACATCCAGGAT